AGAGAGAGAGAGAGAGAGAGAGAGAGAGAGAGAGAGAGAGAGAATTCAATAAACAGCTTACTAGCCTCGTCTTCTCGGTCCGTGCTATAAGTCAGGGATTGTTTTTGTTTTCCATTTGATTCGTGGGCCGCGCACTTCGCGTTTTGGTCACAAATCAAAGGGGGCGAAATCTCGGCCCGCAACTTACAGTACGGACCTTGAACTCGTTTAGTAAGAGGTATGCTCTGAGAAGGGTGATAGATAACAACGTCAGCTGCCCCGCTTAAGTTAAAAGTTACAAACAGTATATAAAACAGAACCAATTCCCCTTAGGAGTGATAGTTCAAAGATTACACTACGGCCACTCTAAATGTAAACACTTAATTAACTGAAACTATTAACCATATCCAGGTTGTTTCAGTCTGTAATTTTGAGGTTACTCTTCTCGTGTAGGTATATTAACCCATGTTCAAGGAGCCTGAGGTGAATAATATTGTTAAATATTGGCAACTAGTTGAGCTCAATACAAAGAATACATATCTTTTTGGATTCGGAAAAACATAGCCACACAATTTGACTTGTCACTGATAATCTTGATACAATTCTCTCCTAGAGCTAGCTTTCCACAAGGCTTACCTTAGCTCAAATAAAAGGAAATAACTCTACTGTGTGCCTTTTGAGGCTAGGAAGACTAAATTCACCGTCTTTTCGTTGAATCGTGAATAGTACAATTCAATTAAGAGTGCTTTTAACATGAAATTGGAGTCTAATTCAAAACGAACGTCCAGATATCAAAACCGCGGCGGAGAGCTGATCTATAGCTTTCTGAAGGCCTACATCGTCCTAAATGGACTGAACCAGAGTTTCCTACATCGAGAATCGATTGAACTTCAAACAAACTAGGCCATAATTAAGAGTAAGTGAACACTCAAAATGTTGTCGCTACGTCAATTATCGACCGGAAGCCACGCAAATAAATTTCTTCCTCGCTAGCGAATCACAGACAGTTCTGATGGTTAATTAGCTAGGCCGAGAACGCCTAATTGACAAAACGAGGAATTTCTACTCGCGATCAGCGCTTGACCTAATGTTCTTCACTCCGTTCGTACCCATGTTTTGGTCGCAAATACCGATGTCCCGGATTTACTTGAATTTCATCGAGCGGGAAATACCATATCCAGACTTCAACAGATTTTTTTTTTGAGTCTTTAGCCACATCAAAGCTCAGACCAAATATCGCCAACAGAAGCTAGAAATGTCTAGTCCATTGCACGTCTAAGCCCTAAATTGATGTAGCCAAAGCTTTTTGCTGTCTAAAGCAAGCACAACATTATCACCACAGTGCAAAAGCCTACAAAAAAACAAACAAACAAACAAACAAACACACAAAAAAACAGAAAACAAAAACATAAAACAAAAAACAAAACAAAACAAACAAACAAACAAACAACAACAAAAAAAGAACAAAAAACAAAAAAACAAAAACAAAGTCACCGGTTACATGAATGGAGGGGTTCAAATCTGTGGGCATGTTTTTGGAACATCGGACAGATATATAATCTGATTGTTTTCGATCACAAGAAATGAGGTGCTAGTACCCGTTCCATACCTGTTTCACAATATTTCCCTGTAAATCCCTTGGCACATACGCACATATAGCTGTTCTTCTCGTAAAGTGCAACACAAGTTCCATTGTTCTGACAAGGCCAGCTGATACATGGAGACTGAAATAATAATAATAATAATAATTAAAAAATACAATAGTATTTGATTCTGCGCTGCAAATGTTTTTGACACGTATATTATATTGTTACGCCTGAATAATTTCAACCAACTCTGGGCTGCATCAACATTTTCAAAGTCCTTCGATAGATATTTCCAAACCAATCATTAAAAGTTCGCACATCCAAGGTCTTCCCTGTAAGAAAAAGTTAAATAAATGTCCCATAACTACTCCTGAAGGTCTATAGTATAGAAGGCGATTAAATCTGTCACCCACTTCAGATCTGGAGAACAAATGAATCGAAAGAAGAATTCTAATGATAGGAGAAACAAAGGGCCCATCCACACTACGCTGGATGAATTTGAAAACGGTGGCGTTTTTAATTTCCCTGAAAACGCAACAATTGTTTTCCGTCCACACTTAGCCGGAGGAAAATAAAAACGTAACTATTACTGCAGTTATTTTGGAATCGTGTTTGAGGAAAACTGAGGCAGAGATGTCAACTGATTATCTTGACACCATCGTTTTCGAACAGCTCTGTTTTCACAATGTTTTCCATCCACACGAAAACGAAAAGCCCGCGTTTTAAAATTCCTCCAGAATGAAGAGCGCTCACGAAAAGCTCCAACTTAAAATTCGTGACGGATTAGTGTGGATGGTAGAAAAAAGCTACATTTTCAAATTTCGTTACGTAGACACCGCCGAAGTGTAACTGCCTTACACGTCTTGATGACTTACCATATCATCAGCAGCATAACCTTGCAAAAATGTTCTTTGAAAAGTCAGCATGGGGTATATTTATAGCATATTCTTAAAAATTTCCCTAACTTCGGCCTCAATAAACAAAAAAACACAAAAGCAAAAACAAGAAATTCAAACGACAACAACAAATGTGTAACAAATGTGTTACTCATGAATATTCAAATTTTGCCTTACCAGGATGCTATAATGCTGAAATAACTTGCTGCCAACGTGTTTTGCGGAGTTGTTGTATCTGTCGGATGGGAGCAGCTCACATAAGATTTTCCCGTTGACGATATCGGAGAATGAAGCCAGGTTAAAGGAGAAACATGACGGCATGTTAACACAAGCAAGCCCACACTCGCTACCTTTGAGAACATAATCCGAACCAATGTTGGTGATGTTGAGGAGGGAGAATTTGTGAGCCTTAAATCTGGCGTAAGCCATTCCTTTATCTGTGTCTCGGCTGAGAGTTTTACCACGTACATCAACAACTTCAATCATTGTCCATTTAACAGATGTAAATAAAATTAAGATGCACAGGAACATGAGAAAATAAGAAAAGTGTTGACTATGAGAACAAGACTGAATAAAACATTCTACTGTATTGATAGTTTGTGGATAAATACCATAAATAACAGGGCAGTAGATTCCCTAGCAACTTTTAAGGTGTTATGTCATGGAATGCTCAAGTTATTGGGTTCCCTAATTACCAACGAAGTTAGTTTACCTTTTGATTTATATTTGAAGGCAAATGAGGTGGAGGTCGCTGCATTGCAACTTCCTCTCTTCATTAATGTCATTGAAAAGTGACGACACCTCCCCCCCCCCCCCCC